GCCCCCTCCCATCCCAGAACGCAGGGGAGACTTTACTAGGCGATATAGTGCGTCCTAGCAGCTAACCGCGCTAGAACGCACTGTATATGCTGTGAACAAGCCCTAAATGCAGAAGGTTTTCATGCCAGTGCTCCAAGAAGTCACTACCACTGACCCAAAAGCCCCCCAAAAGTTGGCTCCAATATACTAAAAATCAAATAAATGAGCTGCAGAAGTCAAGCGATGAAACAAAACTGTAACTTTTCGGCGGTATGTCTGCAGGAAGAAGAAGGAAGCCTATGCTGAAAAGAACACTCTGCTTATAGTTAACCACTTGCTGCGGGTAGCCGTGTTCTTGGTGTCATTTTAAACAGCCGGCGATTGCTATTAACATGCAAGTGATCCGGCGTCTATACAGCCGCAGGATTGTTTGTACCGATCGGCGGAATGTGCTGCCTGTGACGACATGGTGATCAGTTTTATGAGTTAAATGTGTATTGGTGTTGAGTTATGTTTGAGTGCGTTATACTGAGTAACCTGGTTAGGGAAAGACTATCAGCACCATCCCTCGTTATCTCCCATTGTTCTCTGAGGGAGCTCAGAACAATGACATTCTGGCCAGGCTCCTGCTATGGCTGTCTGGAGCTCGTTAGCAGGGGAAGCCCTGTGGTGTTGAGCAGACCGATTGTCTGGGAGGGGAGGGTGGATGTGATGGGATTATAATCTGATCTCATCACTTGCTATATAAAAGTTTGTGCAGTTGCTCAATAAATCAGAGTTTGTTTCACCTACACTCGTGTCCCGACCAGTGACTGGGGAAACTGAGAGCTAAGGATCAGCTGGTTCCAATATCTCCAGAGCAAGGAAGAAGACAGCGGCAGACATACTCATCCTGAGTACGGGGGTCCGTCACACTGCCCTCACACTCCTCCGCCGGCTTCCCCCGTGCTCTGCTATCCCCCGTGCGGCCCCAGGCCCGGCACAGCGGGTCTTCCTGCAATGATCGGAGAGAGATCAGCAGGCTTACAGCCTCCGATCACTGGACCCATTCTCCGGCTCTTAGAGCCAGGAGAAGAAGCCGGTGAAGCAGATCTCTCCTTCCTCAGCTTTCTTTGGGGGTCCCTAGGTGACATTAGAGGTCTGAATACTTATAAGTACACACATACGCAAACACGCGTCGAAGCGCCTACGCGCAAAAACAAAAAATGCGCAACACGTTACATATCCCCGCGAACGTCGGAGTACGAGCAATAATTCTAGAGCCGTTAATCACTGTTAGCACTAAACTGATGAGCCGTAAAAGCTTTTAAAGTGTCACCTATGGGAAATTTGGGGTGCTGAAGTTTTTTGCGGTTTCACGGACGCACGCAATTTTAAAGCTTGAGATGTTTGGTGTCTATTTACCCGACGTGCCCCCGTATTTTATATTTTACCACAAAATTGGGCATTGTATTCTGTTTCTGCATGCTAAATTTCATTTGAGTGTATTCTATCCTAAAAATACCGGTTTGATAAACATTTGCGCAAATACCGTGCAACATATAAAATTGCGACTAGCATCCTTTTATTCTACAGGGACTCTGCTTTCAGAAAATATATAATTATTTGGGGTTCTGAAGCCGTTTTCCAGCCAGAAATTCAGATTTGATCAGGTGTGTGCAAATAGTAAGAAATTGCTCCAGGCAGCAAGTGGTTAACCATGGTGGTGGCTCGGTGATGCCTGGGGGCTGCTGTGCATCCTCTGGCACTGGAGACCTGCAGCGTGTGGAAGGCAAGATGGATTCATTGAGGTATCAGGAAATCCTAGGAGAGGAAACTGAAGCTTGGGCGTCATTGGACCTTCCAACAGGACAATGATCCCCAGGATACCTCAAACTCCACCAAGGCTTGGCTGCAGAAGAGGTCCTGCAAGATCCTACAGTGGCCATCACCAGTCGCCTGACTTCAACCCCATAGAAAATCTCTGGTAGGATTCGAAGAAGGCGGTTGCAGCACACAAACCCAACGACATTAGAGAACTGGAGGCCATTGCTCACGAGGAACGAGCCAAGATTCCTCAGGAACCCCCCCAGAAGCTGGTGACTCGCCAGGCATCTCATTGGCAGCAAGTCATAACAGCAAAATAGTGATCTACTAAGTGCTAAAGATTAGCGATGGGCTCGGGCGTGTTCGCAGCTCCACGTGCTGAGCCAGTCAGGAAGCTGACAGCGCCAATCACAGGCGCTGAGACATATCCCGGTCTCTGAAGCTGCGGACCGGGATAATGTCTCAGTACCTGTGATTGGCGCGGTCAGCTTCCTCGGCACGTGGAGCTGCGAACATGCCCGAGCCCATCGCTACTAAAGATGCTAACTATGAAGGGGCTGAACCATTATGAGACTGCAGAAGTCATTAAAAGTTGCACTTCCAGTTGAATTTGGGGAAACCACATTCATTACATTGACCTATTCCATTTTGGATCCTCCCGATTACATAATATTCCTTCAGAGGGTGGGGAGGGGTGCAGTAAGTAGGGATTCACCAATACGGATTGCTTTTGTTTTTCTACTGAGCCGACCTGTGACAGTCTCATTGTCACAGGTTGGCTAGAACTATGAGGTGAGTGAAAAGCACCCCCTCCACCCCCCTCATAGTTCTCCTTTAAAAAAAAAAAAATACACCCTTCTGGGAAATGAAGGTTGGTGAAGAGTTTGGAGAAGGCCGGAGAAGTGAACAATCTAGGGCAGTGGTGGCGAACCTTGGCACTCCAGCTGTGCCAAAACTACAAATCCCAACATGCATCTGCCTCTGGGAGTTATGTCTGTGGCTGTCAGAGCCTTGCAATGCCTCATGGGACTTGTAGTTCCAAAACAGCTGGGGTGCCAAGGTTCGCCACCACTGATCTAGGAGAACATAGCCGAATAGCTGGAAAGTGAGCTGAATTGGAGAATTTCTCCTAGATTGTTCCTTTCCCCCGCCTTCTCCAAACGCTTCACCCTTCTGTGAGCAGACCTGCAAATGTCGGGGCAGCTTGATGACGTCTCCCTGTAACTAACCTCAGGGAAGCTTGACATGTTGATAACGAAGAGCCGCGGAGATTTCATGGTGATCTGTCCCAAATGGCTCAATGGGATTTTGCCGTCTTTGGTTGAGATCACGATATGGTCGAAAGCACCTGAAGATGAAACGCAAATACATTGTAACAAGTCAGTCGTAGAAATGTAACAAGACGCAGCGTATAAAACAGAGACGGGGAAAGTAACGGTAGAGAGGAGCCGTCAGGGGTCAAGACGAGAGATCGGCTGCTTCATTGTTCCGGAGTTTTCTATGTTACATCTTCTAAATTAATGGTGGTGACTGCGCCATTTTGAATCTTCCTGATTACATACAATATCTTCATAGGCGGGGGGGGGTAGTAAGTAGGGATGCACAGATACCGATACTAATATCGGTTACAGTGCCCGATACTATTTGGGTGAGTACTCGTAGTACTCGCCCAAATGCTTCAATACTTACCCCAATACGGGAACTTCCGGTTCAGAGGGAGAACGTGGAGCCGGCTTCCCGGCCAATCAGGAAGCCAGGCGGCGGGTAATGACTCACCAACCGGCTGCCTGATTGGCTGGGAGGCTGACTCCATGCTGTTCAGGTTCCCGGCCAATGAGCACTGAGCCCACCAAACAGCATTAAGCCGGCTTCCTGGGCAATCAAGAAGTCAGGCGGTGTGTCATTCTGAGGTAGGTTTCCAGTAACATACGTACAGGGAAAGGTTCTGGGGTAGGTTCCCAGTAACACACTTACTGGGACAGGATCTAAGGTAGGCTCCCAGTAACACACTTACTGGGAGAAGTTCTGGAGTAGGTTCCCAGTACCACACTTACTGGGAGAGGTTCTGGTGTAGGGTCCCAGTAGCACACTTACTGGGAGAGGTTCTGGGGTAGGTTCCCAGTAGCACACTTACTGGGAGAGGTTCTGGGGTAGGTTCCCAGTAACACACTTACTGGGAGAGGTTCTAGGGTAGGTTCCCAGTACCATACTTACTGGGAGAGGTTCTGGGGCAGGTTCCCAGTAACACACTTACTGGGAGAGGTTCTGGGGTAGGTTCCCAGTAACACACTTACTGGGAGAGGTTCTGGGGTAGGTTCCCAGTAGCACACTTACTGGCAGAGGTTCTGGGGTAGGTTCCCAGTAGCACACTTACTGGGAGAGGTTCTGGGGTAGGTTCCCAGTAGCACACTTACTGGGAGAGGTTCTGGGGTAGGTTCCCAGTAACACACTTACTGGGAGAGGTTCCTAGTACCACACTTACTGGGGTAGGTTCCCAGTAACACACTTACTGGGAGAGGTTCTGGGGTAGGTTCCCAGTAACACACTTACTGGGAGAGGTTCTGATACTCAGGGTTTTGTTAAAGTCTTCTTTGAGGCCGTCGAGGACGCTTCTCATTTCCTGCTCGAGCTCCTTCAGATCGATAATGTCTTCCACCAAAGCAGCGTTGAGGTTTACTCTCGCTGACGCGTTTCCTTTGTTTTTCCCTAAAAGCAAAAACAGCATTTGTTACCCCGCCTCCCATCCGTAGCTCCCTGCCGAGACTCTCCATGTGGAAGCAGTGGTCTCTCTACAGAGGTCCGACATGATCCCTGCTGAGTCAGAGCTCCACCAATGTAAGGAGCATTCTTCCCACTGACTGACTGACTGGAATGAAGAGCGACTCACCTTTGCTGCTTTTGGTGGCCAGCTGTCTACTCAGACAAGGCGGGGGAAGTTCTTGGTGTCGGAGCTTCGGTGCCGCGTTCCATGTGCACGTGGCTGCAGTGGATCTCAGCTGGTGTAGTACCGGCCGGAACCTTCCCAAACACGTCAATGCCATGGCAGGATCTCCGCTGTAATGATGAGAAGGGTAAAGAGCTGTGTCAGCACACACAGAGGAAAAAAAATTAATAAAAGGGATCAATCATCAATGGTGGCTCCATTGTATCCCTGTTGATCCCACTACGAAGTTCCTTGTCCCTGTTATAGGGTGACAACGGTCTCCCAACTATGCGTCTGCGTTGTCACCCTGTCAGATGCATCCTGGGTGGAGACTGCAAGCGGCCATAGCAACACGCATTGCTCAGGCATAGTCCATATATACTGTATGTGTACACACAAAGAAGGTTCAAGCAAGGTGTGCGTGTGTACACACACCTCCTGCACTGTCCTGCCATCTATACAATAAAATGCAACCCCCTACATTAAAACTAGCTGCACAGTACATCATTCCCCCCGAATCACTGCCCCCCATTCACTCACCATGCAGTCACCTCTCTCTCCTACTCCTAGGACACTTCCAGTCTCTGGATACGTCATCGGGGCGCGACGTGAGGCAGCCAGGGAGGTCGCGCTGTGATGATGTAGCCGGCTCGTCTGGGAGGATGATCGGATGAGCGGAGGGTGCTCCGGTAAATAGAGCGATGTATGCGGGAAGTGGGGTGTGTGTGTGTGTGTGTATAGAGGGGCCGGGAGGAGCGGTATATGAGGGGTTTGTATCGATTATAATGGAGGCAAGGCCGGAGTCTTAGCGGCCTGTGAAGTTGTTGGAGCACTACAGGGACCAGCATGCCCTGATCACTGACATTGGGCCCCTGGTAGTGATGGTGGAGTCCTCGGGGGCCCGGTGGTTTTCCTGCCTGGTGCTGACTGATCACAGCGTGCTGTCTGTTCTCTGTTGTTGTTTGTCCTCTGATGATGTATACTAGTTAGAGGGGTTTTAAAGGGGCCGTAGCATTGATCAGTGAATGTTATCTGTGGTCTCTGGCTGTACCCCATATCATGCCCGTGGTCCCTGGCCATACCCCATGTCATGCCCGCTTTCCCTGGCCATACCCCATATCATGCCCGCGTTCCCTGGCCATACCCCATATCATGCCCACGTTCCCTGGCCATACCCAATATCATGCCCGCGGTCCCTGGCTGTACCCCATATCATGCCCTTGGTCCCTGGCCGTACCCCATATCATGCCCACGGTCCCTGGCCGTACCCCATATCATGCCCGCGGTCCCTGGCTGTACCCCATATCATGCCCGCGGTCCCTGGCTGTACCCCATATCATGCCCGCGGTCCCTGGCTGTACCCCATATCATGCCCGCGGTCCCTGGCTGTACCCCATATCATGCCCGCGGTCCCTGGCTGTACCCCATATCATGCCCGCGGTCCCTGGCTGTACCCCATATCATGCCCGCGGTCCCTGGCTGTACCCCATATCATGCCCGCGGTCCCTGGCTGTACCCCATATCATGCCCGCGGTCCCTGGCTGTACCCCATATCATGCCCGCGGTCCCTGGCTGTACCCCATATCTAGCCTGCGCTCCCTAACCGTGCCCCATATCATGCCCGCGCTCCCTGGCCGTACCCCATATCATACCCGCGGTCCCTGGCTGTACCCCATATCTTGCCCGCGCTCCCTGGCTGTACCCCATATCATGCCTGCGCTCCCTGGCCTTACCCCATATCATGCCTGCGCTCCCTGGCCGTACCCCATATCATGCCTGCGCTCCCTGGCTGTACCCCATATCATGCCCTTGGTCCCTGGCTGTACCCCATATCATGCCCCTGGTCCCTGGCCGTACCCCATATCATGCCCCTGGTCCCTGGCCGTACCCCATATCATGCCCTTGGTCCCTGGCCGTACCCCATATCATGCCCGCGCTCCCTGGCCGTACCCCATATCATGCCCTCGGTCCTTGACCATTCACCACATCGTGCCTGCTGTCCCTAGCCATCATCCATATCATACCCACTGTCCCTTGCCATCCCCTTTATCATTCTCTTGGTCCCTGGCTGTCCCCTGTATCATGCCCACAATCCCTGGCTGGCCCCCATATAATGCCTGCGGCCCCCGGCCATCTCCATTACATGCCCACAGTTCCTGGCTATCTCCCATATCATGCCCATGGTGTCTGACTGTCCTCCATATTATGCCCTTGGTCCCTGGCCGTCCCTGCTATCATGCCCGCAGCTCCTGACTGTCTCCGGTATGGTGCCGTGGTCC